GATCTCTTGATGCCACATGGCGTAAAGTTGAACATTCCCCCGTTCAAGCGATCAAGCAACAGATGGCCTTAGAAGATGTCCAGAAAAAGCAACAAATTGCCACGTTACGAATTCATGTTGAGTGTCTGATGGAGCGAATCAGGGAGTTCTCTATCTTTTCAAAGATCGTTCCAACAATTCTTTTCCCTATCATCATTCAGATATGGATTGTTCGCTGCCTGCTCACAGTATTCTAGGCTCCTTTACTTGCTGAAGCAAATATGTTTTCCATGCCAACTGTTGCTAGCATTGCATGGCGAATTGATCTTCAGCAACACGAATTTTGTCATGCCTGAACAATCATGCACAATACGGAGCAGCTAATGACTTAGTGGGTATAAATGTGGATAGTATGATATAATTTAGATTGCAATATTTGCAAAAGTGCAATGAACAATAATACCACTCTTGATGAATATTGGTGATGGCGGTTTATCAATTTCCATGGTCACAACAGACCTACAAGGGCGAATATAAAAGTATCTTTGCAACCATACAATAGGTCCTTGGGTGGAGCAGAGCTGGACCCAGTTTCAGAAAAACTAGGACGAAATGTAGCTGCTAGAGGGACGATTATGCTCATTGCGTCGCTATGGGCTTCCACGAGCTCAGCGTCAACAATGCTCTGAATGGCAGCGGTTTTCCGCTTTCCTTGCCGATGCCTGCCGCCAAATATATCTGGAGTGCACAGTATTGGATGGATGTGATAGAACCAGGCCCTGAACAGATGGAGAAAGTTAGAATGTAAAACATGTATCGATAAAATGTACTTTTTCTTGTGCGAAATGTTGAAGACTGCATCCTGAAGTGGTACTTACCGATCGAGCAAATCACCCCGTTTCCTGGACACTCCGGCTCCTCTAGCTGGCAGGTAAGTCTTCAACTGGTTGATTGTCCATTTTTAAAAGGATTCGTTGTCCAAAGGCATCAAAAACCGAGCTTTGGGATCGCTAATTCAACTTGATTCTCCCTCGCAGGACTACTATCAACATTCCCTTCATCGCAACGTACCGCCACAAGAGATGAAGTGCTCGGCTCATTGACCGCTTCATCAGCCATGTATCAAACATATCACAAAGGTCCAGCAAGAAGTAAATGCAAAAAAACCTTACATATCGGACAGCAATGAAGAAGCGAGAAGAAAACAGAATCCTTCGCTGTCAGTTTTTTTCCGATCCAGGAGAGTCTCGTTTTTTCTGGCCGCCTGGGTGAGTACACGCCAAACGCGGTGATTGATCGTTGCGGTTCCAGAACAAGAGCTCGCGCTGGGAGGAATGCACTGCATGTATGGCGTGCCTGGGTCACGCATTCAGTATGCATGCCATGCCCCGCCAAGTCACTGCGTGTCTTAATTGGCAAAAGACCTGCTGTGATCCTGTGCCCTCCCGACCTCGTGCTACTGGTGCGTTCGGGTCCCGTCATTCGCGATTTAGGTGGATCTGTTCGCATTTGGGGGGAAAATGCTCCAGTTCTAATTTCTTACTTTTACGACGGGGCAGCACCAGTAAAGGTTTTTCAGAACCGCTCACAGAGCGATTTTTATATGGATAATCATTAATATACACTAGGAAAAGGAAGGGCCCTAGGATGGATCCCTGGGCACTCCGGACAGAACAGGTGAAGCATCTGAGAGAAGTCCACCTACAAAGACAACTTGCGTTCTTTCGGATAGGTAGTCTGTAATCCACTCCAGCGCTGCGCCACACACACACCGAAAACTTTGGAAAGTTTAGCAAGTAATGCACGGTGCCACACGGTGTCGAAAGCTTTCTCGCGGTCGAAAAAGCACATGGCAACTTTCCGCCCCATATGACGATGGTCGGCAATGTTTTGGATCAGCTTGGTGAGCTGTAGAGCGGTCTAGTCACCACGACGAAACCCAGATTGCGCGGGATCCAGAGCAGGAGAAATATGATTATAATTATAATTGATTGAAGAAGAGCCGTTCGCAAAGTTTGGAAATACAGGACAGGAGGGAAATTGGGCGATAGTTACTAGCTTGGGATTTGCTGCCTTTGCACCCAGATTTCAGGTTTGAAACGATGTTTGTAGATCTACTATGCAGTCATGTAGAACGTCGTATAATGCCATTTTTGGCCTCGTAATGCTTTTTAATGCTCGTAATGCTCCGGGTGGTGTATAATGCTCGTTATACCTCACTCCATATACATTGTACACTTACAGTCTTAGGCATGCTCTCCCTTAGTGGTGTATATATCTCCATATACACCGCTAAGGGAAATTAGCAGTAGTTGTCGGCGAGGAATAGTCAAAGCCCGAAATTGCCCGGCCCGGGCCGATAAATTGCGGCAATATTTTGCCGCCTATTTTCGAAACCTTGCCTGGCATTTCTTTTGCCAGTCGAAATATTGCTCTCAAATAATTGCTCCCAAACAGGCTGTAAATGAGCACGTGACCGCTTACTCAAACAAAAATAAGGGCCGAACGCTGCATCGCAGCCTTTTCGGACCAAAACCAGTCGACTCAGCGGTCAAAAGACTACAACATATGGACCAATCGCGGTCATCCGCGCTTTTATAAGAACGAAACGGAGTTTTTAGCCCAGTTTTAGGGAGGAAATTCAAAATTCCCATCTGAAATCTAACGTTTTTCGATAAATTGCTCAAAAATTGCCGGCAATCTGGCATTTCGATATATTGCTCAAAGAATTGCCGGCAATTTCGGGCTATGACTAGCGAGGAACAAGCCATTAGAGAGGCTAAGTTTCACGTAAAATTCTTACGTCCGTGAACTTTTACGTCAAAAAGTAAAAAAAACTCACGTAAAATTTGACGTGTTTTACGTGAGTTGACTGTCCCGCACGTAAGTTCATGACGTGGGTTTTTGGAAGTTTCGCTTGGTTATCCCGACCGAATTTGTGTGAGTTTCCGGAGTTTTATCGAGTTTGTTGGACAATTTGATATTTGTGCGAACTAAACCCGAATCCTGCCAGGCAAAATTTCACGTCACGTCGCACGTGTAACTTAACCTCTAAAAATCACACGGAACGTGAGATTTGCACCGCGTTTTGAAAAAGGGCAAAAATCGTGTAACTTAACCTCTCTAATAGGTGGTCACACGCGGTGAATATGGAGAGGTATAAATATTATAACAAAGGGACCTCGTGTATATCGAGATATATACACCAGTTATATTAACCTCGGCTTCGCCTCGGTTTTCATACTGGTGTATATCTCTATATACACTCGGTTCCTTGTTATAATATAATGCCGGCATTATCCGCCAACACCTGCAGTGTACTGGTGCTCTTGTTACGTTACAACTGTGGCCTTTGGTCACAAACGAAGAAGCTGGAAGATCGCCTGGATGCATGGTATCGTCGCAAGCTCCGATATCTTATGAACATTGTCCACCCTCACCACATCTCCAACAAGAATGTTTACGGAAACACCAACCAAGCCCCCATCTCGCAAACCTGTAAAGAGCGCCGCCTCCTGTGGCTGGGGCACGTTGCCCGGGGGGGGGGGGGGAACCAGACGCGGCCTTTTACATTTCCAAGGCACTGCAGCTAGCCCTCAATACTTCGGACATCAAGCGCCCCGTGGATAGCCCTTTCCCAAAGGTGCTCTTTTAATTCGCACTTAGTGCTTTTCGTGTCCCTCAAGATATGCTGAAAAGTGCTCTTTTTTCAGTGAAGCATAGCCATGATACATGTTCAGATACAAATGTATAAACCCAAGCTGAGAAATGAATGCGCACTCTTCCATTTTTATGGGTCCACGAAAGGCAAAACAGGAACTAAAGTAAAAAAACCCCAATTTTTACAGCATTGTCTACACCGGGTACCGCGGGTGCAAGCTTCACCAACTTGTTGCCCCCAAAAAGCGGTGTGCCAAGGCCCATCGAGCACTCGGAAACTGTGATCGCATGCATGAGCAAACAGATTTTAGCACTTTTTCAGCTAAAAAGCTCAAAAAGGGCGATTTTCACCAAAAACGCAGTAAAGGGCGAAAGAAACGGGCTTTTCCAAAAGGGCCAAAAGGGCCAAAAAAAGGGCGAGCACCTTTGGGAAAGGACTACCTGTGGACAACCCCACAAGCGATGGGTCGACAATTTCAAAGAAGACCTCAAGGCTCTAGCCTGAGCCTCTGAATGTGCCGATTCAGGAATAGTCTCAATCTCGCCACCAACAAGCAACTTGTAATGAATACGTACATACCTGTACTGTAATAAAATTAACCCAGTGCTCGGGCGACTAAGTAAGTTTGCACATCCGCATTACGAGTTACAGTAACATGTACAACCGCCTTACGATTGTGTTGAGAAACACCAGCAGCTTAGAGAAGTCTCGCTCTTGCCAGGCCACCAGCACCACAAGATGGAGCACCATATTCCATAATCGGCGTCGGTGTCCGCCACTTCTTATGCAGCAGAGGTATCACCCACTTCTGACGCAAAGAGCCGTCTGCATCCACGGGTTTCCACGCCCACGGAGGCACAGGCAGGATTGCAACGATGAAAGACATCACGCGAGACATTTGACATGTGATCTACTACTGTAGTACATGACAAGTATAATGACTTATGATTGTCATGTGGATCTACTCTTGTACATGGCATTGTACAGTCATTGAAAATAATTATTTGCGTGCATCAAAACAAAAAAGCCCGGCCGACCGATCCTAGGACCAGGCCGGGGCTAGGCTAGGTACTAGTAGACCTACTGAGTACAATCATGTAGATCTACTACTACTTACTAGTTTCTTACTAGATAATGACAGGTATTATTTATTTTTAGATGTTCACGGCTGACGAAATGCGAACCGGAACTCACTAGCTCTGCAGGCTGGGTATATTTGCAGAAACGGCAGCCGCTTGATGTGGATTAACTCAGTTTACGTGTGCGAAGATTTCAGCTGGAAAGCAGTTTTGAGACCTCAGCGCCGGCGTTTGCGAAGTGCCAAGGTCTTGTTGCACCTTAGGCTTAGTAGAATCTATTGTACCGGTACATGAAGGTCATTCAAAACCAGCCTTCAGGTCAGCGCGTGGAGCTGACGCAGTGAGGCAAGCGGCGGGCCAGGCGAGTGTGCAAGATGAAAGAACGGACCTTGCGCGGCAGAGCGCGTCCTCTGCCCGCTGCAGCAGTGGTGGTGTTATGGGTCATTGCGTGCTGCTGTCGCCTGGAGAGTGCACGCGGGTTCAACTTACGTGTAGACGAACAGTTCCGTGTAGAAAACGTGTTCAAACGTAAGTTTTAGAGTGCGCCCATTGTGTGGCTGAGGTTCGTTTCCGATTGTGAAGAGTGTTGTCATTGCGTTTGTGTGAGAGCAGGAGTGTCGGGAAGTATTTTTAGTGTGGTACGGTCAGCCATCTGAAGTACAATTTACTCGTGGGGGAAGGATGGCTGATCCAAAAAAATTGGAAATTTAGAGCCCAAACCAGTGCATTTTATTGATTCACTGGGTACTTGGGGCAAATAGTTGTACGGTAAATACAGTAGTGACCGTACCGTGGGCGACGTCCCTGGAGAGGATCTACACGTTCCACTCCATTGTCACCGATCGCAACCGTCCTGAACAACTCTGCACCCCGCAAGGTCCCGCTGGACCTGTCTCCTTGACCGAACTTGATCCTGTGACTCCTGCTGACGTCCGACGTCTCCTTGAGAAGTTGGATGCGCGGAAAGCCACGGGTAGTGACGGCATACCGGGCTCTCTCAGCTCTCTGCTACAGTACAGCAGTGTGCTGACTTGCTGGCATATTCTCTTGCTGTGCTGTTCTGTACCTCGCTGAGGACTGGAACCATTCCATCTGCATTTAAATTGGCGTCTGTCGTGCCACTGTACAAGGCCGGTGACCCATCAGTCCCCACCAACTATAGACCTGTATCCCTTCTCCCAATAGTGTCCAAGTTGCTGGAGAGGGTAGTGCAACCGACCAGTTAGTTCGTCATTTGGACTTGAGCAAGGCATTATCCGAAACACAATTTGCCTTCCGCAAGAAATGCTCTACGGAAGACGCCCTTTGTGTGCTGACAGATAATCTGCAGAAGGCGAGAGACAGTGGCAAGACCACAGGGCTGTGCCTATTAGACATGTCGAAGGCTTTTGATAAAGTACACCACGACAAATTGATCCAAGACCTCCTTGCGGTTGGAATATCTGGAAAAGCCCTTAGTTGGTTCGTCGACTACTTGTCCGGCCGCAAGCAGCAGATTCTCATCTCGCCTTCAACCAGCCCTGCTCTGGCTTGCACCTGCGGATTGCCCCAAGGCTCGGTTCTCGGCCCTGTCCTCTTCAGTATATACACACGATTATGTCCCTTTGGTTTCCTCTCCTGTGCCAAGTGTACAATTTGCAGATGGCATAGCCCTGTATGACTCCCAGGCCTCAGTGGCGGAAGCGTCCAGAACCCTCACCACAGCGGCAACTGCTCTGACCGATTGGCTGAAGTCTCGAGGCCTCATCTTGAACGCTGCCAAGAGCCAGGTTCTGACTATCTCTTCCCAGCAGCACGTACAGGATGTAACAATCAAAAGCGGTGACTGTCTCCTCCCTTCAGCGTCCTCTGCGCGCTACCTCGGCGTTCACCTTGACAATCGCTTAGATTGGGACACCCATGTAAACTATGTGGTCACCAACGTTGCCAAGAAAATTGGCGCCCTGTGGCGGGCACGCCGAAGCCTATCAAGATGTCTCGTCAGGTGTATGTGAAGACGGTCATAATGCCTGACCTGCTTTATGGCTCCTGCTGCTTTTCAGCCGCAATGCGAGAGGGTGAACTGAAACGACTGCAAACCGCGCAAAACAGAGCCATCCGCTGTATCGATGGCAACCCGCCCCGGACAGCCATGCAGCCACTGCTCACTCCCTGTACCGTGTCAGCGAGCTCTACAGGCAGAACATATTGATCACCACCTGGCGGTGCATCCACGCCCGCACCAGCCCTGTGCTCGCCCAGCTTCTGACTCCGGCACAAGGCACCCCTATCCGCCATAAGCAGTCAAATGGCCTACTACGCCAGGCAAACCGTAGCCGCCGCGGTCAGCGGAGATTTTCTGTTGCTGGTGCACTGCTGTGGAACGCTCTCCCTGGTGAGGTCCGCAATATTACCCGGCTACCTGAGTCCGCACAATTACCCGGCTACCTGAGTTTAAGCGTGCATGGGTACCATACGCCTGTAGGGAGTACTCGAAGTAGTTCGAGTTGCTGCTGATAGCTCTGCTCTCCCTCCCCGTGCAGTTCAGTAATCCTCACATAGTATCACAGATAGTATCACAGATACATCGTATTTTCTCCCCCCCCCCCCCCCCCCCGTTTACTCGCATCCTATTCTCTTACTGTGTGCTTCCATAGCCTTTACTATGTTCTTCCATAGCCATTTCTAGGCTAAGCCTTCGCCGTCATTTTATTGGGTCGTCATCCCGTTTGAATGTGCGAAGTGAAATAGAAACTAACCAACCAACGAACCTATAATACGCATCCTGTCCGACGGCAAAAGAGGCTGCGGATTTAGTTTTTCTGCACGTTATCAGCAATGATTACTGATCTTCAGCAACTTGGGTCTCCTATAATACGCATCCTGTCTATGCTTTTGTAATGCTAACATAATGCTCGGGATAGCACTCGCTACTGATCTTCAGAAACTTGGCCTGACTCTCACTCACAATAAGACTGTTGTAATGGTCATCGTTCCCAAGCGATCGCTGGTTTCTCCCACAATTTCATCGTACTGTTGTACGACATGCTACACGACATCCTTATACCGTACAGCACCGTATTGATGTCTGGCTGTCTGCCCTTTTTTTCTTTTTTTCGGTGGTGTAATATTTTCGATATTCTCCAAAATCGGCGGTTCGGATGGAAGGAAATTTTCGGTAAACCCGTTTTCTCCTTTAAAGATCACAAGTGATAATACAGGTCCTCCCTCGTTAGTAGATAATCTCTGGGCCATCGAAAAAGTTATCTTATAACGAGACTTATCTTGTAGGAGGACTTGCAGCTAAAGGTAAAATAAGCACTCCTTCGTACTTACCGGGCTACCCTCGATACAACATAAAATAATTATTGATGCTTCAACTCGTTATAAGATAATTGAAAATCTCCAACATAGCTCTTCCTTGGATGTAAAGGATCGTCCATATTCACGAATACATAGACATAATACGTTTCCTCTTTCTGCTTTATCCTACGTGTTTTGGCCTTGGTCCTACATGGTCAATATTATCTTATACTGAGGGTTACAACGTGGTGTCGAAACCCGGGACGCAGAGGAAGAGTCTGCTTGTCGTCGTCAACGAGACTAGTATCGTGAAAATAAGATTTGAAAGCGTGAGAACGGAGGAGATCGAGAGAAGAGCTGGATTTGGTGATAATGAAGATGGTGGGAAAGGAGGCAGAGGAAGTGGTGGATCGACAGAAACTGTGGACTGGAGCCCGGGACGACAGATACCGCTTGGAGCGCGTGGCCATGGCTAGCCAGAGGCCAGTGGATGAGTCTGGCATCGCCGACTGTGTGTCGTCCTTTGTTTTTTGTCTTGTTGTTTTGCTCGCTGTGTTGTCTGATCGTGTTTCTCCCGCTGTTCAGTTCGTTGCTTGTTGCTGTGTTGTTTGAGTTTGGTTGTGTCGTTTTGTTGCTCTTCTCGTCGTTCTGTTGCTCTGCATTGTTTTGTGTTGTAGATCTATTTTGCGCTGCTGCGTGCATTGGATTATTTTGTTGGAGCTTCGGTTCTCGTGTTTTGGGTGGCCTGATGTGCCTTAGTTAGAGCACCGGCTCTGGTGTTTCTGGTTTGGCCCTGTGGCGCGGCTCAGTTTTAGAGCGTCGGCTCTTGGGTTTATGTTTGGCCCTGTGTCATGGCCTGGTTTCGGAGCTTTGGCTCTAGGTTTTTTTTGGGTTGGCGCTGTGTCGTGGCCCGGGTTTCTTTTAGAGCGTCGGCTCTTGGTTGTTGTGGACCTCGGTTCTGGGTTCTGTTGGCTTGTCGTGCTACGATGTAAGCTGGTTCTTGTTTTTGGTTTTTCTCTTTTGCTGTTGTGCATGTGGAACGTGGTGTCGGCTTACTATTTTGTGGAATGTCATCAAGGGGGCAGGTATTGTAAAATGATGCGTTGTTTTCCTGTGTGATGACATTCCCCAAACCGTCTCCGTCTAATCGCGTGCATGTGTGATATATGAGCATGCGCGATGTTGTAGTCAACGGCCCTTTTGTCAGTCTTCTTGTTCGTCTCTTCGAGTGTAGTCTTCATTTTCCGTCCTGTCAATAATATTAATAATGTTACAAACAAGTCTTGTCCTTTGTGTCCTGCATCCTGGGGAACGGAATGGCTGTGATTACGCTACATAGTGCTCCTACTTGCATTGCGGCCATCGGAATTTCTTGCTTCTGGAAGTTTGCTCAACATCTTTGTGTCTTGTGATGTCATCCTGGGTCTCTTTCTCTCCATGTTTGTGTCCAGAACCTATCAATTTCATAATCAACGGACAAGAGGCATCGTCCCTGCAGTTTCTGAAAACTTCAGACCTGGCTCGATTCGGCGAACAGTACACGTACATTGCCATGGAGTGGAATCGGTCACCCAACGTAAGACGAACAACAACTCTCTGTTGCCTATCGTCTTTGAGTTCTGTTTGAGAGCAAGACAAATACGCGTCTGCCCAGTGTTGACTTCGAGACCCACGGTCGGACGAGCTGGTCAGGCCTCACCACCAGTGCCGTTTCTGTGCTGCCTTCTCTATACATACACATGTACACTGTAGATGTGCACATTCACATGTGTGAAGGTTTGTGGTTTTCAATTAAAAAGGAATTAAAAAGAATTTGATTAAGATATCTATGAACGAAAATAAACTGGCACTCATGTCAAACAACAAAGCAGCAAAGGTTTAGTTCCAGAACGTTTTGTCACATTTATCAATGAAATCTCGTGACTGACAGAAAAGAGAAAAAACAGCAGTAGGATATACACTTGAGTTTAAGGTGACAGCATGAAAGAATAGTTATAACAAATACGTGACAACTATTCGTAAAAAGTTATTAGGGGAGTGCAAGGGATGTTAAGTTTACAAGTGCAATCCTAGGATAGTAGTGTGAAACATGTATGTGAAAAAGCATTGATAAAGTGGGTGAGTGTGAACAAATTACAAAAAAGTATGAGTGCAGTGACATTTTCACGGGACATTTCCTGAAGTTTTACTCCTTCTTTTTGTCCCAGCACAAAATAAATTAAGTCCGTGACCTTGTACAAAGAGCACAGCGCATTTGCTCAGCGACGAAGGTACAGCAGGAATTGGACTGTCTACGATCTGTGTTTGTTGGGAATGGGTATCCCCAGTAACTCTTGGATAAACTGTTAACAACTACATCTATCGTGAAAGAACGAACTTTCAGACCACTTCCTTGCAGGGTATTTTTGTGCTTACCCTGGAAAGGAACAATATCTAAACATGCCGGATGTATGGTAAAATCCTAGGTTGAGAAGACCTACTTTGCAATCAGTGTGGTTACCGTGTTTACCACGATACGTTAGTTCACAATGTTGAAGGACGTCCTACCAACCACCCTCCAATTGAGCCATCTCATATACACCGTTGAATGACGACAATGAGCTAGTCGGTATGTTGGTAGGACCCTTCAACATCTGTCCGAACGTATCAAACAACATGTTCCACTTTCATTGCTGTTCCAGGCAGCTAGGTCTAGCAGACCAAAGCGTGGCCGGCCGCGGAAGTTCCCTCAGCCTCTGTCTTTACCGGCACAGGCACAGCCACTATCAAGTATTGTGCCACCACAAACTCCCCAACAGGACTCAAACAACGCACGGAACATTGAACACTCATACGGCACGCAAAATGCGGAGTCGCCAGTACACACAGAAAGGTACCACGGACCACCAGTAACGGTTCCAGGCCCAGAGAGAGGCAGGCCGCCAGAGCTTCGAAGGAGTAAACGTTTGGCGATGCTTCGGTTGGCAGCAATGCCAGATGATGTGCACGAGAACTACCCACCACGAGGAAGTTCAACGTAACCCTGATCTGTGTAAACAAAAAGAAAAAGTTACTGCACCCACACTTTTTTGTAATTTCTTCACACTCACCCATTTGACATAATTTAATGTGACAAGAAAACGTTCTGAAACAAAACCGTTGCTACTTTGCTACTTTTCTACTTTGTTGTTGTTTAGTTCTGTTCATAGCTATTTTACGATTCTTATCTCCTCGTAGACTATTCAAGTAATTTTAAAAGTAACTACAGCGTTTGTGGCTTTTCTGATGGAATCATGATTTCGAAAGCTTTGTTTCAATAGCTCGCCATTCCACTCCTCGAAGTACATAAAGATGACACAGTCATGAACTGGTAAGGGCGCGTTCAGACTACCGATAAAAAGTGAAGGAATGGGAAAGCTGCCAAAGTGATTTGATCACGTGACGTTACTGGCACGTTACCGGTGGAAAAGTTTTCCTGCCGCTGCTGCTGCAGCAGTAAAATGGTTCTGGCGGTAAAAAGAGTGCTCAGGCTGGGAAAAGGGGAAAATCCCTTCTTAGTGCCGCGGTGAGAGCTGCAAAACTTACGTACCGGTAACGTTAGTTTATCGGTAGTGTGAATGTCCTTCACGGTTTATCGCCATTCACGGTTTGACGGGGTTCACGGTAGTCTGAACCCGCCCTTCGAAACACTACTTCGAAGTACGAATGTGGCCATTCACGGGTTTTCATTTCCGCATTCCTATGGGCACCAACGCGTTGGTCTGAGAGTTGAACTATTGAGATGGGGTTACTGTACAGCACACAACTGACTTCCACATCACTACTGAGGCCTAACTACATTATGTCCAATGTGTTAGAGTAACGAGCAATAGGTACTAAGAGTTGCAGGCAGCACAAGCGTAGTCATGGCATGTGGTATGGTATGGTGAGTGTAGCAGGTAGCGCTTAATGCACAATGTCAACACCTAACAGGGCAGTGTGCAAGTAGCACCAATGGAAGGTGTGATCATGAGAGTCCAGCTCTCACACTATGTACATGTATGCCATAGCAGGCAATTGTGATATTAATCTACAGTCTCTCTAGGCTTAGTTGCTCACCCAAACTGAACCTGTGCCCGTCCTCTTTGCCATCCAGGAAATGGTGGATTATATTATGTACTTTGCCTCGGAGAACACTACAATAATGGAGACACCCCAGGCGAACACACCATACTGCAGCTGTGTGCCTTCCACCAACTACACGTGTAAGTAACGTTCTTGTTGACGCCGCTGCCGTCATCGTCTTTTGTCGTTGTTTCAAATCTTTACCGTCACGATGGCCTGTGGCCAATTAGAGATTATTCCCGTAGCTATGCAGAAGACGTTACTTCAGTAACGTCTGGCGCTAGCCAAGGTCCACATAGCTTTAATTCCCGTAGCTATGCAGAAGACGTTACTTCAGTAACGTCTGGCGCTAGCCAGGGTCCACACAGCTTTAATTTGGTGTTTGTTTGTTTGTTTGTTTGTTTGTGTCACGCCTGGCGCTACTAGTATCCTGAATCTGTCCCGTACCGTACCGTACCAACAAAGACAGCTGGCCACAATATTTTTGTTTGTTTGTGCCATCGGCATGCCTGGCGCTATCCCGTACCTGTCCCGTACCATCAAGAGTAGGGTACCATCAAGAGAATGAGTATATATGCGAAGTGTATTGGGGAATGCATTCAGTGCAGTAACATATTGTGTGGATTTGTGTGCGTGGCCGAGATCCCACTAGCAGGCTGGCTGGGCCGCCTGTCGAACAGCCCGGGAATCGCATGTAGGCCGATAGCATAATGATTATAACGTGTATACAGTCATGTAGATGTATAGCAAGGAGTCATATTATGTAAACGACTCCCTGCTGTATGGGAAGATTTTCTGGAAAGAAATACGAAGTAGGGAGACGAGTAAATGCAATTAGAATGGATGTTAGTTGCCGTCAGTATAATAATAAGAAGAAGACGAGCGCCCGTGATCGGCAGAGTCAGCGCCGGTCCCAGGAAACGTCAGGACAGACATCCCGTCGACTCCAGAACGCCCGTGATCGGCAGAGTCAGCGCCGGTCCCATAGCTATGCAGAAGACGTTACTTCAGTAACTCATTGAAACGTTTTGCAATACAATGATGTAGCTAATCATAGGAAAACACTTTTCCATCAGTTCTAACAACATGCACGATGAGCTAGGCAACAAAGCATAGCGCAGGGCCCTGAGCTTCCAAGCTCTCTCGTTTGGTATTTGTGTGTTTGTTTGTTTGTTTGTGTCACGCCTGGCGCTATCCCGTATCTGTCCCGTAACGTACCGTACCATCAAACACAGCTGGCCACATACAGCTGGCCGCAATATTCAAATAGGGCTTTCAAACGCAAGATCATAACGTGAAGCAACTTGGAAGAATGGGTATGAATGCGAAGTGTATGGGGGAATGCATGTAGGGCGATAGTGCGGGTTCGAATCCCAGGATATGCCTGAAAAAAAAAAGGAGAATTGAAAAAATTATAACATCCCTATGCTTTTTTTGCCGTCATCAAGGCGGTACCCTCAATCGTACCTGTTCCGTACCTATCCCGTACCGTACCGTACCGTACCATCAAAGACGGCTGGCCACAATGCATATTCAAATAGGGCTTTCAAATGCAAGATCATAACGTGAAGCAACTTGGAAGAATTAGTATGTATGCGAAGTGTATCGGGGGATGCATGCAGGGCGCGCGATAGTGCGGGTTCGAATCCCAGGTTATGTCTTAAAAAAAGGAATTCTTTTAAGAATTTATAACATCCCTATGCTTTTTTTGTCTAGGTCATCAAGGCAAAAAAGTAGTGTTTAAACCGAACACGGATTCTTCGAACGAATAATCTATCGAATAATTTCGCCCTCCATCGAACGAATAATCTATATTCTATCATACGCATGATGGCATTTTTCAACACTTTTTCAGCACTTTTTTAAGTATTTTTTTAATTTTTTTCTGATTATCGAATTTTGTTATGTGGAGGTGCAAAACCGGTTAACCTGTACCGCCAAGAGTACATCCCCCCCCCCCCACAGTGTGCAACGCCTGATCCAGCTCTGCAAAGGGTCTTGGTCGAAAGTGGTCAAAGACCAAAAATCACATTCACTGCATCCATGTTTCCCTCGTATGGAAAGAACAGAAGTATTACTAGATACCGATAGGAGATTAAAACTTGGAGGAGAGGAGATTGAGAAGAAATACTACGAGCAGATCTACGCAGTGCAAATATCAGCAGGGTCAGCGCTGAGTATAGATCTTTTTTTTTTTTTTTTTTTCGATTTCTGATAATTCCTACGACTATTCGATTATTCGTTCACCCCACGAATATTCTAAATTATTCGATTATTCGATTATTCGTTTCAACACAACAAAAAAGCATAGCGTGGGGCCCTGAGCTTCCAAGCTCTCTCGTTTTTAATTAGAGATTATAATTATGGTGAAATTTTACATTAAGGTAGCTCGATAGGAAATCAAAAGCTAGTCTTCTGCGCATCTTTCTGTGCAGGTCACCCCGTGCGCTGCCTGGCCCGACATCCGCGTGCACGCGCTCAGCTGCACTAGCTGGCTGAGCATGCAGTGTACAGTTTAGAATCTGAAGTTCAGACGAGCTCTGCACACTCATGCACACTAATGCACACACAGGGCAGCTGGATCTGGCAGATTGAACTGTTTTCCAACCAGCAGAAGGGAACTCAGAGAGCGGTGTCTGGGAAGGTTGAGATGCACTCGTAGTCGCAGCTTCAGAGCTCGAACTAGTCGCTGCAACACTGCTCAAACCAGAGTCAAGGGGAGCCGAAAGCAAGCCAGTCCCTGCAGAACTCGAGCTGCCTGTTTGCTTTTTGATGAGCTCTTGAACTCTGCAGATCAGTAGGAAGTAGTCATCAAAGGACGAGACGGAAATATTACAAACAAATGCACTGGGCGAAACCATCTGAAAGGTTTTGGAGAGAAAATAATGACTTATCGCTTCAGGACATCGGCTTTCTTTCCGCTTTTTTTCAGGCCGTTGCTACTGCAGAAACCCTGCAGGACGCCTAATATCCACTTGATGGGGTCAGATGACAGCGACATTGTCAAGAGCTTGGTATAGAACTCAAGACCACTCGAACCTCTTCTTGACAGCACTAAAAAACACTAGCTGTCATGCATGAAAAACAGCAGCGCTGAGGCCACTCAAAAAAGTGTCCCCGCAGAGGGGTCACGTGGATCCGCCATTTTGCGGCAGCCATTTTGCTTGCATACGACCTATTACCCCCAACAACTTTTGTTTTTCCAGGTCAGTAAAGGTCTGACTTGATCATAAAGAAGTAAACCATACACGTTTTCGGACCAATTTTGATATTTCATACTCCTTGTACGATTGAGCATGGAGCAATACTTTCAGGCACCCGAGGGGAGGTACCGTGGGAGGCCGAGGGTGACACTACCAATAAAGCTCCACACCGATCTGTCCCAGTCGAACAATGGGCACCTGCGGAGTGTTGAGGACTTGCGCCGTCTGGAGCGGATTGCTGTGGACCGTCCAGCATGGAACGCGCTGGTGAAGAGTGTTTGTGCACACCCTCGTCACGAGTAGAAACAGCCATGGCACCCTTAAAAACTCATAACAACCATTCTATAATAATATTACTATTTGAATCTTTTAATAATTATCTGGCAACTCAACCTCATACGTATAATTATCTGGACACCCATTGACCATGATGCTACATGAGGAGACAATAGTGATGACATTTTTCCAATGAGACCAATTTTATGACGCTCCATGTTACTGAAGGACTAACTTCGATCATTGGTTTTGTAGAGCCCCATTCTCTAGGAGCTGTCTACATCTGCTTTGTTTCAATGTCCAGCATAAGCGAACGTGTGGATCAAGCATAACTGCTTGGTTGACGCTGCCGCGGGAATGCGTATAATAATAAAATAATAATAATACTCCTTGTAACAAATTTGACGTAAATTTTGCAACCAGCCCGCAAGTTTTCCATGAAAAACAGTGTCTTGGAGGCAAAATACACATGTCCGATGTACATGTATGAAAATGGTCCATATCAGCTACATTTTGCCCAATTACCCCCAAACTTTGTTTTCCAGCTCAGTAAAGGTCTGACTTGATCATAAAGAAGAAAACCATAATATACATCTCGGACCAATTTTGAAATTTCATCCTCTTTGCAAAAAATTGTCATAAATTTCGCAACCCGTAGAAGCTTTTGAAACTAAATAGTTGAATTCAAGGCTACTAGAACTTCCCTAATGCTCCAGTTTTGTTCCAGGGACATCCCTGGACGAAGCAGAGCATCAAGAAAGACTCAATAAAGCATTCTAATGAAAATATGTGTGGGTGCCGTGGCAATTCTCACACGAATTGCCACGGCACCCACATTAATCCAGAGACCTCGGAGGGCAACAGCAAACTACTCCACAGAGATTTATGCCAGAAACGGCCAAGGACCGCGCGTTGTGGGCCGTACCAACAGGAGGAGGGTCGAGCAGTATCATGAGTCAGTGAGTGAAGCGGATCTGGAGGAACAACTCCGCTCACGGGACGAGCAGCTAGTAAATGGGAGACAAGTGGTCTATAACGAAACGGAAGATGAGGCGGATGATCAGAGGATGGAAGAGCAATTGGATGACGAAACGGTTGGTGAGGAGACAGAGGACGAGGCAGATGATGGTAGTGATGATGATCGTGAGGATGACGAGCGGAACGAGGAAGAGGACGATGAGATGGACGAGGAGGAGTCGGGTGGGAAGGAGCGAGATGAGGCGGATGAATGTGTTGATCGCAAGAAGTCAGCTGTGTATCTACACTTGTTATCTCGTCCTGACTGTCTTGGTGTGTATGATGACTCTCATTTTTCTGTACTGTGTCGTGCGCGTTATGTCCAACAGTTGAAAGTCCTTGAGGCAGTTTGTATACGTATTCATAAGCCTGTTTTGTGTAAGCAGAAGGAGCACGTTGTTGCATTGAAGTTGTATTCGTAGGTTGTAGGCCTCGACCAAATAATTATACTTGCGTATATTTCCGCATATTTTTGTGAGACAGTTCATTATGGCATATTGAGCGACAAAGGGAATATTGGAATGAAGCCAGCATATAATTCAAATATTCAGAAGAATACGAGGACAAAACTTTCATATTATCGACAAAATGCGTTCAGAAATGCCTTTTATGGATGAATTTGGAATGGTTGAGGCGTTTGCTAC